GCATTTACAAAGATGTGCACAGGCAAGCCTGTTTGTATTTGCATGCGCACTTCTGTGTGTGTGCATTTTGTGTGTGAGCATGCTGACTGACACCTGTGCAGGTAGGTGGGTGGATGGGTACATGGTGCTGTGTGGGTGTGTGTGCACATCGGTTTGCCTCTGGGTTTCCATGTGATCTCTCTGGAAGCACTGTGTGTGTGTGTGTGTGTGTGTGTGTGTGTGTGTGTGTGACCAGAACCCTTGAATGCTGGAGGTGCAGGAGTCCTAGGAAATGGAGGCTCTCCAACTTGCTTCACAGTAGACTCACCTGGGAAGCTTCCAAGGACCCCGATGCCGAGGCGAAGGCCCAGGCGATGGGAATCAGGCCTCTCCTGGGTGGGGACGTGGCATCAATCCTCTGTTAAACCTCCTCCCGTGTGACTCCACTGGCAGCTGAGTTTCACCCACTATGTTGAGTGATTATTGACTGAAATCTTTTGCATTTATAGATGGGAACGGAGGCCCCGTGTGTGTGGCCTTGAGAATGAGCAGGGCTAGGATGTGTCACTTGAGCGAATATAAGCTCCGTGAGGGCCGGGTCAAGAGCAGTGCCTGGCACATAGGGACTGGCTGGTGTGAGTGACTGCCAGTGTCCTTGCTGGTGCCGGGGGTGCTCTGCTGGACGAGGGCATGGGCTGGGAGGGGGGGGTTGGGGCAGGAGCTCTTCCTTCTCTGATTCCCACCCTGTGTCCCTGCAGGAGCTCTGCTCAAAGCCGCCCCTCTTCCCCTGCATCCTTTATGGCCCCACTTGCGATGCCTTTGACACGTTCTTTAATGAGGAGGTGCTGCTGCCCGAGCTGGACGTGGGTGACTGGCTCATCTTCCCCTCCATGGGCGCCTACAGTTCAGTCATGAGCTCCACCTTCAATGGCTTCCCGCCTGCGTCCATCTGCTACATCATGGGACCTGAGCTCAGGTATCTGAGGAGAGCTCAAGGATCTGAACTTTGCCCAGGGAGCTGAAGGCTAAGCTCTGGGTTTCCAGGTCCAGGAAATACAATTATCCCCCTCCCCCCCCCAACACACATACACACACACACACACACTGGCCCCCGAAAACATCCAACTGACATACATTGCCTGTGGGATGGCTTGTTACACCCATTACCCATATAAGTTCAAGGCAGCCCACCTGGGCAGCTGTGACAGCTCTGATGTTTAGACGCCTCTGTGTCCACAAGCTGACATCCTTAAGGCCCTCGTAACCCTTAATTCTTGGCCAAGGCCCCACTCTGCTCTGACCATTTTTGGGTGTTCCCCGCTTTCCTCATTCGAAGTCCCTTCCGTACCAGCCTCAGGCTCCCCCACAGGCTCTGCCCAAGGGCCTTCTGTTAGCCCAATCTAGGGTTCACTCCCCGAGGTGATGGGGCTTCTAGAACACCCCTTTACTGGTACAACCTTTCCACAGGAGCCTGCTGGAGACAGCGCCTTAAGCTGGGACATGGCAGAATGGAGGGGTTCCAGACACTTGGTGCGCCACCTGGGGAAGCTTGGGGCGGAAGTGGGGGTGGAGTGGGGAAGTGACATGTGAGAAGCAGAGGTTTGGTTGCCTCTGAAATGATGAGGCAATTTTCCCCCAATGTTGGCCTGATACACAGGTGAGCCCTTCTGGGCAGAGGACTCCACCTGTGTGCTCCTTACCCCCTGAGCCCTGGAGTGGGGTAGGCTTGAGAAAGTGGTTTTTTTATGTTGGGGTCCAACCCCAGCAGGTCCAGGGGTTCTCAAAGGTATGGACGGAGTCGGTGAAGAAGGAATGACACGGAGACAGCGTTCAGTTGATCAGCATCCTAGCCAGGTTCTCCAGCCAGGTTCTATCTTTATTCCCCTGTTACATCTGTATTTATACCAGTTGATATTAATCCTATCCATTCTATTCCAAAGGTTAGCGCGTTTGTTATCTGCATTCCAAGGTCACTACTCTATTGTTCTGTTAAGATACAAGGAAATAACTGAAGGAGATTATCCTAAGTAAAGATTATGTAGCTTAAACGTGATTGTTCATAGTTAAAGTGATCAACTACCCGCCTGGCACTTAGTTAAGGGGTTTTACTGATTTATTCTCTTCCTTAGTCCTGTTAATCCCTAACTCCAGGGAAAAATCCCCACCTGGGGAAACAACCTTTCTCTGATAGGTGACCTTGGTTAAAATACATAGCGCTAAGTAGGGGAGCAAACATATTAAGAACAGTGTGCCATATACACCAGGTCCCTTGAAACGTATGCTGTGCAGATGTTTCTTCCCTGCAGTGACTGTGCAAATTTGAGCAAAAGAGATTTTTTAACAAGGCTGTAATTATTTCATGCGAAGAGCTACACATTTAAAAAACTGCACACCCCTTACTGGGGATCAAGTCAGTCCACAACCCAGGCATGTGCCCTGACCAGGAATGGAACCAGCAACCTTTGGGTGCTCAGTAAAATGCCCAAACAACTGAGCCACACTGGCCAGGATTCCTCCCTCCTTTTATCCAGTTAGTGACCCCTGAGTTGTTGCAGAAATATTCACGTGAACTATAGGCACCCATTCTAGTGCCCAGAACACCGGCTCTGGAGTCAGACCTGTAGCGAATCCAGGCTCCAGAACAAACCGGCAGTGTGGCCAGAGCCTCAGTGTCTCCATCAATGGCATGAGAATGATATTCGTTAGCACCCTCCAGGCATGGCCGTCCAGGGGATTAAGACAGATAATGCAAATCCTCATTCAGGTCAGTTCATGTCCAGAACCCTGCCTCAGGTTGGCCTTGACCCTGGACCTTCCTACACAGAGACCACTCCCTGCCCCCTGGTCTGGGCATCCTCAGGGGGCATATTGCATCTGGCCATACAGGTATTGGGCCTGGCATGCGGGTGACTGGCCTGGCGTTGGCCTTAAGAACCCCCCAGTTTGAACGGTGGGAGGACAACGAATGGGAATATCCAAGTTTAAAATAAGGCAGGTACCACCAGGAGCTAGGGACAGTAGGTCCCAGAGGCCAAAGCCACTCATCTCCTGTGTCCTGTGTCCTTTTTAAGTTTCACCTGATGCGACTTCTCTGATCCTCAGCTCCTGCAAATGGCCCTCATCATCCACCAGAGTCAGCCCCACCATCTCACTGCTGCCTCCACACTCAGGTCAGACCAGGGTATTGTCCAGCCTCCTGTGCCAAAGACATCTCAGCCCCAGGCATCTGAGGAGAAAGGATGGGCTGCAGATGCCTCCTAAGGACGCCAGAGGGCTCATGCAGCCTTCAGGTCCTGTGTTACTCATTCCTCTACTCCCAGATCCTGAAATTTGGGCTAGAAACAACCACACTTACCCCCTCAGAGGTGTCTGGAAGAGCAAATATGAGTGGGCTTTAGGTAAAAATAAAGTTACGTTCATGTGCAAGAGTTGCTGGAGTGTTTTGTGCTTTGGTCTATAGGTGTTGCCCTGTGGCATTTTGGATGTCAACTCATTTTTCCCATTCATTCATGAATCCATTCATCCATCAATTTATGATTCATCAGTCTTTCCATCCTTTCATCCACTCATCCATCATCCATCCATCCATCCATCCATCCATTAACTGACCATGAATTGATGCTTTTATCCATTCATCCAAGTGTGCTTCCATCCATAAAAGAAAATGTGAGGGCCTAGTGTGTGATGGTGTTATTCTAGGCAAGGTTACACGTGATGAATAAGATGTGCAGAACCTGTCCTCATGGAGCTTACCTTCCATTTTCCTCCATTGGAAAAATCAGAGCAGGAGCAAACATATAAATGATAAAATAAAGTGGAAGAACAAGTATTGTAAAGAAAAATTAAAGCAGGGCAAAGGGATATGGAAGGATAGAGGATGGTCCTTTTTTTAAAGCATGTTTTCATTGATTTTAGAGAGTGAGGAAGGGAGAGGGAGAGAAAGAGAAACATCCACATGGATCAGTTGCCTCCAGAATGGGATCGAACCCAAGACCTGGATATATGCCCTGACTAGGAATTGAACATGGGACTCTTTGGTGGACAGGGTGATGCTCCAACCAAGTGAGCAACACCAGCCAGGGTGAGGATGGTGCTATTTTAGATAGAAGGTCAGTGAAGTCTGTCTGAGGGTTTGGGATGTGAGCAGAGACAAAAGGGAGCTGTGTTTAGCTGGGGGCAAAGTGACCTGTGTGGGAGTGCTGCGGTCTTTCTCAGCATCTACTAGGGTTCAGAAACCTGGAGAAAGGGTTGCATAATAAAGAGGCTAGAGAAGAAATATGAATTTGGGAGGCATGGGGAAAGCCAGGGAGGCTTAACTTTAGTAACTAAGCTCCCCAATCTCCTTTTGGAGACTCAGAGCTTTTCATTCCCACATTTTGCCCTATAGCAAAGCAGATATACATATCAAAGGTAAGGTTTGGTAAACAGTAAAGTATGAATAGGTTGGGGGAAATGCCTACAGCTGTCCAGCAGCAGGTAATAACATGCAGATTTTCAGCCCTGGTGAAGCCCCAAGGTCCATCAACCTTTTAATGAACTTCTTGCATTTAAGACCTGCATGAGAGAGAGGTATGAACCTGGGAAAGCAGAAGAGCAGAGTGAATGAGAGGAGGTATTGTGAGGTGAGGAAGTAGGAGGGTCTAAGGGCTGATGTTTTCAAACCTCCTGGTTTGTCAGGGCTTTGACTGTTCTGAGAGGGAGGGAAGGCCCCAGAAGGTTTGAGCAGGTGAGTGCACTGAGGGAATGCAGAGAACTCGAGGGGCTCCTGTCAAGCCCTGCAAATGCTGGGTGGTCACGGTGCAGGTAATGAGAAGGACCAGGCTCAGGACAGGCTGTAAAGGCCAAGTCAGGAGAATTTTCTGAGAGGTTAGGTGTGGGGTCTGAGCAGAGAGGAGTCAGGAAGGACTCCATGGTTTTTGGTCAGAGCATTCCATAAATGGGGGTGCTGGGGGTGAGGGGAGAAGCAGCTTAGGGGGGGTTCAAATTGAAAGCGCAGTTTGGACAGACAGATTTGAGAAGCTTATTCAATTGCCAAATGGAGTCAGATGTGAGCAGGTGGTCAGACATGAACATGGGAGAGAGAGATGAACATGGAAGAGAGGTATGAACATGGGAGAGAGGGATGAACATGGAGAGAGATATGAACGTGGGAGAGAGGTATGGACATGGGAGAGAGACATGAACATGGGAGAGAGGTATGAACATGGGAGAGAGGCATGGACATGGGAGAGAGACAGGAATCTGGGAGAGAGACTTGAACATGGGAGAGAATCTTGAACATAGGAGAGACATAAACTTGGAGAGCGGTATGGACATGGGCATCATCCCAGTGGATGGACCTTACATCTCTGGGGCTGCCCAATTCAGCCAGGAAGTGAGAGTCCATAGAGAAGATATGAGTCATGGAAAATAAGAGAAGAAATGATTCAAGAAGGAAGGATCATCTCTGTATTCAAGAAGGAGGAACTCAACTGTGTGAGGGTGGGGTGGGCACTGAGATTGCCATTGGGAAAATGCAGGCCATTGGTGATCTTCAGCATGGCGTTTCAATGCCAAGGGAATTTGGTGAAAGTGTGGCCCACAGAGGAATGTGGGAGGAGTTGGAGGTGTGAGGTGCTCATGGGAAGAACATATATGAAGATAGTGAGGTGATGGGAGGAGCCTGAGAGTATGACCTTTTAAAGAAGACCTGCTCTGTGGTGAAGTAGGCAGTGAGGGGATCTGTGACACAAACTGAGGCAAGGACAGACACTGGGGACTAGGGTAGGAAGACCTTATCAGTCATGAAAGGAGTCCCAAATCATAAAGGGAATGGACCATGCTCACATGTGCTCTCAGAAGAGGTCACTGTGACTGCAATGCAGAGTGGATGGAAGGGCAGACCAGAGGGACTCAACTGAAGTAGATGACTGGGGAAATGCATGAGGAAATGTGGGAATGGGATATGTGTTGGAGAGTGAGAATGAGCTGGGGAGAAGGATGAATCTGAATTTCTTGGCTTGTGCACTTGGCAGTAACTTTCACTGAGATGGAAAAGCTAGCAGAGGTCATATTGGAGGTAAAGGTTATGAGTACAGTTTGGAACATGTTGATAAAATGAATGCAAAGTGCCTGACATTATTATTAGCTCTTTAACATAATTATCCTGTTATTATCTGTTTAACAAGCCCCAGTCTTTCCTCCAGGTCTAGTTCAAGATGAACACTCCCAGCTCCTCCAAGTAGAGTGTGTCTTCCCGCCCGAGTATTTTATGAGATGTAAAACACATTACTCATCAGTTCACTAGGAGATTCTGATTGCCTCTCTGCCTGCCCCACTGTGTGCCTAGCACAGAACAGATGCTCTCATAATGTTTGTAGATGGGTTAACATGACGAGTGCTTCTCTCCATGGTCTTGCTCTCTTTGGTTTCATCATGAAAGTGTTGAAAGGAGCCAACTGTCCTTCCTCCTGATCTCAGGACTTCCATGGCGCTGTGAGGCCTGCTGTGGCAGAGCTGCCCGCCCGAATCTGGAGCAGGGGAGGCTCAGCCTCAGGGCAGATTGAAATCCAGTGTATTCTGTGCTTCCCCTGTGGCTCCCAGAGGTAATCATCTTGCCATGGAGAGTTATGTCATGGAGGAGACAGGCATCTTTTGCATTTTTCCAGAAGGCAAGCAGAGGTCTTTCCCCTTCCCAGGGAGGCAAGCTCCAGACACCTGCTTCAGAATCTACAGAAGACCTTCCAGGCTGGGAAGGAGACCTAGAAATATCAGCCAGAGGCTTCGTTTCTGCATCTGTGAAAATTGCAGGTGTTGGAGCACCTTGGGGCACTTAATGGCAAACGTAGTGTCTTGAAGCTTCCTTCAGAAGTGTCATTAGGCCTCATTGGGTGTCAAGGGAGCCTCAACAGGTCACACCACTGGCACCACTATCACCATCAGGAGTTAAAATATGTGAGGCTCCCAGCCGGTGTGGTTCACTTGGTTGAGCAACCCAAAGGTTGCCGGTTCCATTCTGGTCAGGGCACATGTTTGGGTTGGGGTTTAATCCCCAATGGGGAGTACAGAAGGCAACCGATAGATGTTTCACTCTCACATTGATGTTTCTCTCTCTCTCAGCTTCCTCTCTCTAAGTATGTCCTTGGGTGAGGATTGAAAAAAAAAAAGAATTTATGTGGGATTTATGATGTGTCAACAAGTGTGCTATGGGTTCTGCATAGGGCATCTTATTTGACCTTCACAATAACCCAATGAAGCAGCTGCTATTTAGACCTCATTTCTCAAATCTCAAACCAGGTCAATGTGTTTTTCACAGCGCCATAGGAGCACAGGCTCTGGAGTCAGGCTTGGGATCCTTATCGGCTTGGTATCAGTGGTGTGTCTTGAGCAGGTCATTTATCCTGTTTTGATTTCAATTTCCTCATCCACAAAACAAGGACAGTAACTTCCTCTCTGGGCACAAGTCCTTCTTGGGTGAAACCGGGAGATCTCACTCTGTTCCACGGGTGGCCTCGGGCAGAGGGATCCGGGTGGTCCCTCTGGGATGACTCTGTCTCCAGCCTCCTTGCAGGGTCACTTCAGGTCACTGTACAAGGACACTCATGGGCCCCAGCCTGATGCCTGTCAAAGGAGCCCAAAGTGTTACTGGACTATGACTGTGACTCACGTTGTGACCTGGGCCATGTTTCATAACTTTTTAGGTGCAAAGGCGGTCCCCAGGACAATAGACTCTAAAGGCATTGGGCTTATGGAAGAGCTGGGTTGGGTCCTGTGAGCCTGTCTGCAGACGTCTGAAGAGGATGTGTGAAGAGAACAAAGCTCTGTAAGCCATCTGGGACTACCTTTAGCCTTTAAGGTTTAAGACTTTCAAATCTGAGTGCTGCCTGGTATGGTTACAGTTCATTTAAAACAGACTCCTGAGCACTCTCCTTTCCCCTTAGTTTTGCCCCAGAAGCCATCGCTTTAAACTCTGTCAGGGTCCTTGGGTGTTTACCTCATTATTTCCAGATAACAAGCTGGTGGTGCTATTTCATGACTTATGTCTTTAGATAGGAACTTTAGTTCTTTTATATCTCTCTATTCAGTCTTTCCTATATAGTTTATCACAATTTTGCTTATATCCGTTGTCACTTCTTACTGTGTTATGACTATATAAAATGTTTCTCTTGTCTTTGCCTATTATTTTGAAAGGCATCGGTATACCTGGAGTTACCTGTTGTGTTAAAAGATCAGATGGAGTCTCAGTACGCTGAACTGTGGTTGCCCTGTAGAGCCCAGGGTCCATGAGCCACACTGTCGACCCCTGTAGACCTGACCATTCTGATTCCACTAAGGCTGTGGTCGGCGAACTGTGGCTCGTGAGCCACATGCGGCTCTTTGGCCTCTTGAGTGTGGCTCTTCTTAAGCCTCAGGAGTACCCTAATTAAGTTAATAACAATGTACCTACCTATATAGTTTAAGTTTAAAAAATTTGGCTCTCAAAAGAAA